TCGGTAGCCCCGAGTTCAACTCCTCGGCCGCGTTGTGTAAATAGCCAACTGGTCAGCTTCCCACCAGTTGAAATATTTGTTTATTTATTTACAGTGTCCCCAATTAGCACATTAGTGCTAAATACATTGACACTTAAATAAAGTGATTATTATTATTTATTATTAAGAAAAGCCATTACCGAGAGTAACCAAGTACTCACAATTTTGGAGAAAACTATTGATATATTTTCGTCAATTGACGCTAATTTAAACATTTTCATCCATTTTAATTTGTGCAATTTTCGCTTTTCCTTCCCCTCCAATAAATATTGCTTGCCTCCAAATGTTAAAACTGCAATATTGTTAGTCTCAAGAAGCAACATGGGAACATGGTGGAGGAGACATTGTTTGGAAGGCTTCTGTATAGTCCAGAAATTTCTTTCGAGAATTGAAAAAAAATGTAAATTACACAGAGACACGTATCTCGATTACATTAAATACATGAACTGCTTAGTTAATTGGTAAACGACCTCGTTACGATAACGATGTTCACTTTGACTTCAAATATGCACCTCAAGAACATTTGTTACAATTATTGCTAATAATTATTTTTACACATTCTCACGCGCTCATTTGCTAATTTGCTCATTGGCTAATCACTCACACGCGATGGATTTAAACAGGTCACATGACTTAATATTCCTCAGCCAAAACTGGGCGTGTTAAGAAAATATTTGAAGGATAATAAACACAATAGCCTTAATTTGGCGCAACAAATATGCTCGGATATTTCTCCGCGGACATGATCTGTTCCGAGAAGCGAACAGTTTTCCGAGATCGTATTATTTGTCAAGAAGCAGACAGACACATGAATTTATAATTTTGTCCCGTCTGCCTTTTTATTGTTGTAAAAAGCAAATTGACGTTGACCAGTTTTTCAGGGTCTGTCCTGTTATTGACAATGAATTTCGTTATAACATTGTCAAAGTAGTCTATGGATCCACAGCTACATTGACAATGTTATGAGGAAATTCATGATTTATAGCAGGACAGACGCATGAAAAACAGATATCAATTTGTTAATTGGATGCGTAAAATACTTACAAGTAACATTCACTCTAAATACTTGGCTAACTGGATTTCCAAATCCATTGTCAGCTGTACAGTGGTATGTCCCAGAGGCAGTTCTGCTAATGTTTGGAAAATTCCAAGTTGGACCCTGGTGCAGTACTTCACCATTGCTATCATCTTCCAGCACTCTGTTCCACGTGATGTTTGGTGTTGGTCTGCCAGTTGCTTCGCAAAACGAAGTCATGTTTGATCCTTCAAGCACAGTCTGATCACGGCTGACATTAATTAGCTTGACAGGAACTGAAAATAGAGATACAATTCCAGTACCGCATCCCTGACACTCAAACAGGTGATGCGGCTTTGTCAGGTGTTTTACAGAACAACTCCATTTTTGAGTTTTCTCGAGGAGTCTGATCACAACAAAGTGGATTGAAGGGAGGGGTGCCCGCCCTTCCTAAGCATAGAAATAGAACAGAAGTCTGAATTCAGAACAAATGCGAATGCACGCGAAGCGGCGACGGATCCAGAAGTGCTGAGAAAAGGGGTGGGTGGGGAAAATCCTTGCTCTAAACAGGACGGAGGACGTGCCTTCTGGTCTTAACCTTAGATCCAGCACTCACTACGAAAGTACGCCGAAATAATTAAGATATCTTAGCACTAGTGGATAAACCATGACCGGTCCCTGGCCAGGAACTT